TTTAATTTGTGATGTGTTTGATCATCCCACTGAGGTGTGCCCTTTAATTCCAGTTTCTCAACAGTTTTTTAGAGATGGGTCGAGCAGTTGAAATTAAGGGGCACACCTCATTACTCCATAGGGGAAACACTTAACACCTCATTAAAATAATCTAAAAACATAAAAATAAAAATTATAAAAAATCTAACCTAAAAGAGAGAAAAAAAAAATAATAAAAACAATAAGGGACGAGATTACCGGATCTATAACAAATCTCAAATCTAGCAAACATCAATAGATGGCGGTGCGTTCCTTGTCTTCAAAGAACTCCCCGACAACGGTGCCAAAAAACTTGCTACAACTCTAGAATTGATCACTCAAGTGCATGTGGTGCAAAGTAATATAATGCTCGGAAGTCCGAGGTCGAACCACAAGAAATTGAGAAAAACTTGGAATACAAAGAAAAATAAAAGAAAATTATTTTGACAAAAAAAATTGTTGTAGAGATTTAGAAAACAATAAATTTTGTTTTTAAAATAATAATTGAAAACAATAAATTTTGTTTTTTGTTTTTATGGATACCCTTTCAAATCCATAAAATAATGATTAAAGACTTAATTATTAAACCTAAACAAGAATTAAATATTGGTTGATTCAAGTCACCGAATTTAGCAATAAAATTAAGAAAACACGTGTGTTTATAATCAAAAATTTATTCAGGAACCTAAGTAATCCTCCAATTATATTATTCTATGAAATAATGGTAATTAACTTAAGCATGAAATAACCAGTTATTTAACTCGCAGGGAAATTCAAGCAATTAATGTACAGGACACAATGACTCAAGAATTTTTACAGAGCAAAAATTTTGCTAAAAAATCAAAAGTTAAATTAACAAAATGTCACATACCATTAAGTTCATAAATCAATAACATTACCGTACTTCATTGAGAGATCTTCCCCTAGCTTTAACTAAACCTTTTAGCCTGGCATAACGAACTAAAACTAAAATAAAATAGAAAAAGAAAAAGAATAATAATCATCCAAATCTTCCTCTCTCAATAGATGAGGGCCCTTATTTATAGTAAAATAAATCTTAGGTATAGGGTAAAAGATATAAGGTTGCCTTGAGAGGAATTCATTTCCAAAAAGAAGTTTTTTAAGGTTAAATCCTGTGCATAAAATCTTTGAGGCGCGGGTACAAAATCTATCCGGAATTCGACTTTGGATTTTGCATATTTAGAGACTGATTCACGAAATTTTTGTTAAATACACTTTTGTAGCCCTTGGAGTTTTCTTTCCAACCCAAAAAAAATCAATTCAATCAGATATTGGAGTTAAAAGTTATGATCAAAATACTGAAAAAAGTGTCAAATCCTTATCTTTAGGATACTTTCGTAATCCAACTTTAAATGAGTTTTCCTTTAACTTGGACTCTTATAAGAATTAAAATTGCTGATTTATCTTCAAATCTTCCTATCTCAATCTTGATTTTTCAATCATTATAAATTGTAATTCTTCATCTAGTGATTGTTTCACTTGTCTTATCTATTATTACTTTAAATCAACCAATTTACCTGCAAAATAAACCAAACAGCTGGAAAAAAGTATCAAACTAAAAAATTAAGGAATTTAAGAAATTTAATCACAAATAATATGCAATTAACTGATCATTAAATATAATAAAATAACAATTTTGATAGTTAATCACATTTCTCTCTCACATACACATACTAATACACGCAGGCACCACCAGAACAGCCCCAACCCTTTTCATCTAGCCCCCACAGTCAGAACGAAAGCGAATCTTTCTTTCATTTCTCTAACAATTTGCCTCCTCCGTTCTCTCTGGAATCCAACTCCGGCGACCCAAATATTTTGGTGATCAGCAACTTTGGCAAAACCTCTAAGGTTGGTTTGTCTCCCCTTTTTCTTCTTCTCTTTCTATCCTGTTGCAACATATACAAACAACACACACACACACGACACACACATACCACGCACTACACACAATACACACACAAAACACTCTCACACCACACTAGCAACACACACGCATAGACTCAGACATACACAAATTCACTCGCACACACATTCACAGACAGAGAGATTCACACACGCATACATCACATGAACGCACTGTCACACACACACACAAATGGATATTTGGGCAACACAAAGCGCAAACACTTCATAGATTCACAATCACACATGTTGTCATTTAAAGGTATTTGTGCATTTTGATTTAGAATTTGTTGTTGGTTTGATTTTTTTTTTTTTTTTTTTGTGTGTAAATTTTTGTTACAGATCTGAATTTTTGGGTGTGGATAAGCATCATGACATAAAAAATTGGGAATTTTGTTTTGGGGTATTTGGATTGAGTGGTTGTTGGTAGAAAATTGCCTAAAATTTTTGGGTGTAATTGGCAGCCCGTCAAAGAGTATGAGATGTAAAGAAGCAGTGGCTATGTGAGTGCTTCAAATTATGAATTTCCAACTCTATTTGTTTGTAATTTTGGTTTTTCAATTTTGTTTGTTTTCGATATTTTTTCCATAGTTAGATTTTGATAAAAAGCAATCGAGTGAAGGGGTTGGATCTTTGTATTCAATTGTTTTAGTTTGATATAATTTTTAGCATTACATGTGTTTGATGAAATGTCTCATGAGTGTTATCAAATTTCATTAGATCGTTCAATGATCCACATTCGTGATTGAGTAACTTTTTATGTCACGCTATGGTGAAGGTGCGTTGAGGCTAGATAAAAAAATAAGGGGGACTGTTTATCAAAGGTTTATTGATCCATTTCAAATCAATTTTCATGTTTTTTGGTTCTCTCTGTTGCTAAGTAGAACTGAAGCCTTTGATCCCAACCAACTCTTTCACATTTTCAGTTGTGTGATTTTGCCTCATGTTTTGATAAATTCGAAATTGATTTCTATTTCTTATATTATTTCCAAGTATATATGTAATGGTGTTTTTTTAGTGATGTTTCATGTGGGGGACATATTAAAGCATTTGATCGCATTAGGTGTATATGGTAAACAAGCTAAGAGTTTATCACTAAACATTCACAATCACATTGTGTTAGATATTGGGTTTGGGTCATGGTTGTTTCTGCACTGTTCATATGATTCTCAACACATTGAATCTGGACAGAGGGTGATTAGCAGCTCTGTTTCTGCTTTGGGGTCTACTTGACAGCAGATGATCATTCCTAGCTACTCTCTCAAGACATCCTCCACTCTTAGTGTTTTCATTAGCTTCTTAGTGGATATTTTCCAATGATTTCTATTTAGTAAATTTTCATTTTTGTCAAGTTTTGTAGTATTTTTTTCTTTCACTTTGCTACCTTGACTCTTTTTTGTGTTCAAATATTAGGTATAGGTAGCTTGAAGACTTATGAAGTCACAATCTTCCTTTTGTATTGGACAATTGTTGGTTGTATGGGCAATTGCTTTATATTGTTGAAAGAATTTTCTATTTTAAATTTAGTTGATATATTTTTTTGATTTCTTGGTTTAGTGAACTTGGGATGTTATTGATTTGTATGTAATCATGCCCATATTTAGAGACTAGATTTGAGATTTTTTTTTGTTCTAAACTTGATTATGTATATATGTTGAATAGATAGTTTTTTGTTTTGCTATTGATGCAAAACAAAATTGGATGGTTTGAGTAAATCTATTTCATTAAGTAAAAATTTTGAGTTTATGAAGATTTTTTTGTATCTTATGGTTTGTATTTTGTCCCTTACCTGATAATTGGTAAACTATCACTTATCATAAACAATAGAGCTCATATATTTTTAATTGACAATTTTTTTGAGTTACGTAGTGTCTTTAGGCACGAGTATTAAATAATTCTTTATATAAGAGATTTAAAGATAGTGTACTACACTATACCTCTGGTTTTATCTTGAATCGAGATCATGCATCTTGTCAAAACGAAACCGAGTAATTTTTTATAAGTAGAATAAAATGAAGTAATTATGACTTATTTAAATCAAAAATATTTTTTAAAGTGAATAACGAAAAATAACAATGCTTGAATTTGATCAAAAAATGTTTAACGGTGACCAAATTCAACTGATTGCTCGTTAAATTAAACCAATAAAATTATTAAATTATAATTAAAAAATTTGACCAAAAATTTTTATCATAAAAGCCAACTCATATGTGAACAAAATTTTAAGGTAGAATTATATTCAAATTTCCTGAGGTTTGTCAGTTAATCATTTAAACCCTGATATTTGAAATATTACACGCAGATCCCTTGAGGTTTGTACGTGCAAAACACTTTGACCCTTGCCATCAATATCCGTTAGTAAATTACATTCAAACTTCTAAAATTTATAGGCGTGTAATACTTAATTTCTTAAGTTTAAAATGTGATATTTAGATCAAAAATACACTAAACAAAGATAAAATATTAAATATTTTAATTTTTGTAACCAAAATTTATATACTATTATTGCATTTATTAAATTAAAACTAAAATTTAATTTTTTCTTAAAAAATTATAATTAATACACAATTATACTGACTTAGACCCTTGGTTTGCGTGTTTGCCTTGGTCTGTCTACCTCCTTCTCTCTTTCCTTTTTTTCCATCTTTGTCTGCGTGTGTTGACTCTATCAATTGGGTACTTGTAGTCAAAATTAACCAGCACTCACGTCACTCACATGCAAGTGTCTTACGTGTTTAAGCTTACGTCATGAACTGTTATCCGTGTATTTGGTCTTTTCTTTATTTATTTTCTTAAAAATAATTTTATTTAAATTTAAAATTTTAATCTAATTTATTAATATAATAATATAATTTCAGTGAAATTACACTAAATTTGAGTGAAATTGATGATAGTCTACTCACTTATCATAAAAAATTGTAACAAAGTTTTCAAGAAAAAATATCAATAAAGTCTATGGTCAATATATAATCACCATGTAGCCAATGAAAGAGATTGCAAGGAAGTTTCTGGGAATTCTTGTTGAGGGCTATAAATCGATTACCTTTGCTGGAAACCCAAACCACGAAAGCTTGAGGTCTCTGAACTGACAGACTAAAACAATACACTAGATCCAGTTTCAAATGCAGAAGATCTCATCTCTACTTCATATCCAGCCCCCAACTTATGGAAAGCTAATCACCATTCTCAGCATCGATGGAGGTGGTATCAGAGGCATCATTCCTGGCACTATCCTTGCTTACCTTGAATCCCAACTTCAGGTTAGTTTTATTTTCTGCTAATAAATGTGTGTGTGTGTGTGTGAGAGAGAGAGAGAGAGAGAGAGATTCATTATTTATGAAATTAATGATATGCAGTGACCCAATCCTACATTCATTATTTATGAAATTGATGTAAAATACCACTTATATCATATGCAGTGACCCAATCCTACATTCATTATTTATGAAATTGATGTAAAATACCACTTATATCATATGCAGTGACCCAATCCTACAATGTTTGGTGAAGGTACTTGGGGTTCATTATGAGTCGAGTTTTGAAAGTTTAATGCGTCTTAAATTCGTGCAGATCCATGGAGTTTCCTCATGTTTAGAATATGTAGTGTAGAAAGATTATCTAACTACAAGTAATGCAATTTTGGATTAGGAGTTGGATGGTGAGGATACCCGACTTGCAGATTACTTTGATGTGATTGCAGGAACGAGCACTGGCGGTCTTGTGACTGCCATGTTAACAGCTCCAGATGAAAACAACCGTCCTTTATTAGCGGCAAAAGATATCAAGCCTTTCTATCTCCAACACTGCCCTAAGATTTTCCCACAGAAAAGGTAATCGTAACATGTTTTTCTTGCTTTCAGTTTTTCAAGAAGGTAGAATTCCAGTGCATGAAAGCTTGGAATTAATTGGGATTTTGCTTGCAATCTTGCTTTTTTTAATTTGTATCCACTCCTGAAATATTATTGTTGCAATGGCAGGGGCATGTTTGCATCACTTAGAAACAAATTGAATTTATTAGCAGGACCCAAGTACGATGGGAATTATCTCCATGAAGTTTTGAGGGAGAAACTAGGAAATATTCGTTTGCATCAAACCTTAACCAACGTAGTCATTCCAACTTTTGATGTCAAGAAGTTGCAGCCCACTATATTCTCCACTTATGAGGTTCTCTTTCTCTCTCTCTCTCTCTCTCTCTGTTTATCATATTCTAATATTTTATGTCAGTGCAGGCAGAAGAATCCCCCTTGCTAGATGCTCGATTATCTGATATATGCATTAGTACGGCTGCAGCTCCAATTTACCTTCCTGCTTACCATTTTTGTAGCCAAGATAAAGAAGGGAACACTTGGGAATACAATCTTATTGATGGTGGTGTTGCAGCAAATAATCCGGTATAGTTTTATGTATATACACATAATAAGTTTTTCATAATGTGTTTCTCACTTTTTTGTAGCCTTGAATTTGTAATCTCACACTATATATTTCTTTGGTAAATAAAAATATTATTTAACAAAGATAAAAAAAAACATGGATAGATAATATTGTTCAAGACTTATCCGAAGATCTTCCATCGTATACTCACAAGAGAGATGATCATTGTGACAAAATTATCTGGTTTAGAAGAAGATACTCTCACAATTCACAACCCAAATCTAATGTAACCATACATGTTAGCTTTTGTCTCACTTCATATTTAGTGGCTAAACATATATTTTGTTTCTCCAACATATTACTGAGTTTTCTCCTCATCTTTTTGAAAAAAGCCACTGAAATTAAACCACTAATATTAGGCACCTTTTTAGGTCTGTGTAAGGTGGAGGGAATGAAAGGACTAGAAGGAAGCTGAAAAGTCATAGTGTGCTAGTGCAAGCACGTTAGCGCAATAATTTAATGCCATGTTTTCTTTGTTGTTTCTCTTTTTTAACATTTGAATGGATTGTAGTTAAACACTAGTTTATTTGGACTTTTCCGACTAGAGCCACAGAGCTAAAAGCAGATTCTTTGACCGCTTAATAATATAATCATTGTGCGTGCAAGATCCTGCACAATATAAAAAATGAGAATAAATTTCTCTTTTGGTGAACTCGAGTGAGCTAGTTGAGTGACCAACCACGCTGCTTGGAACAGCCTGCGAAGTCCGGTGGTAACCTGGAACGGCAACGGGAGACCCTGGGGGAGCGGAAGAACAATCCAATAAGGCTGAAAGAGGTTCCTGGAACAAAGAAGAACAAGTTAGAAGGGCGCCGGAGTGTTTTTCGGCGTATCCCCTCCGACGATCTAGTCAGTCTTTGAGAAAGAGAGAGGAAGGAGAAAACACTGAGTGTGTATTGTAGTAAAGAGTTTGTTGTTGCATACCCGTCTTGCCTTTTGCAAGGAGTATTTATACCTCAAAAGCTCATGATTGCTGTCAGTGTAGTCAGTAGGTGATCATTAGGTACAGGCAGTGTGCGCACTGATTCTGATGAGGAATGTCTTCTCTTCTTAACTGCTCGGGGCCCCGAGCAATCAATGCTGCATCATCGGGATGTCGACGGTACAATATACTCCTCTCGGGGAGGATACAATAAATGCTCTGTATTAGGAGCATTTATTGTCTTTCATTTCCGAGCCTTACCGCATTGAATGCAGTCTCGTCAAGGAAGTGGTGCAATTAATCGTTTGTGTTCCCAAGTCGCGTGTCAGCAACGACATGCGGCTTTTCTGTTTTTGATGTGATATCGTATGCCACGCGTCCATCCCCCATTGGCTGTGGACCCTGCATTCCAGTACGTTCTGACACTAATTGTGTAAGACGAGGTCATGATGAATAGCCTAGACTAGCCTAGGCTAATGACCTGTACGTCAATAGCTTATCCTGGAGTAGAGGAGGCGTCCAGGACAGGGTACACCTCGGCACCGAGGAAAGGCTCATCTCGGAACCGAGGGAGGGATACCGACCGAGGTACCATATCAGACCGAGGCTACATGTTGGTTGTAAAACGTACTGAATGCCATGATCCTATATGACGAGTACCTCGGGGGCGAGGACCTTGTGCGCCGATGGTGCTTGATCTTAGCAACAGTGTTTTGGTAAATACCGAGGACACGTGTCTTCATCATGGAGTATTTTAGAAAAGTCCCATCAGCTGCCCCCCAGCCTTCGATCTTCTGACACCGAGGGCACGCGTCGTAAGGAGACGAAGGGTTTCCCAACAACCACAAATGCTTCATCATTGCCTCGAGCCACTTTCCCCGGCTTGGGATGTCGTGTGCATTAAATGCGTCGTTTCATTTTTCGCACCCAATGATGAAATTGCCACTATATAAATGGGGATCCTCTTCCATTTTTTTGTTTCGCTATTCCGAACTTCCTCAAGAGAGCTTTTTCTTGAATCTTCGCCGGAGATCTCTTTCCTCCCTCATCGTCAACTGTCCATTTTTCCTTAAAGTCTTAAGGCCAGCAGACCCATCGTTGCTTCTGAACTTTCTGGAAGGAGTCGCTTTAAAGTTTTCCAGAAAAAACTCCGTTTGACATTTGGGTGAGTTCTAGTATCTTTCCTCTTTTCTTCCTCCTATCCCTTTTTGTTTTCCGATGACTGGAGGTGTCTCCGGTTGATACATAGCGACTAATCCTCGGTAAGCTTCCTCATGGATTTTTAAGGAAAAAAAAAACCCTCCACTTTCTCACTTTCTTAGAGATGCCTCGTCGTCGCCCTGCTCCCGAGAATCCTCAGGCTGGTTCTTCGGGGTCGGGGAAGTATAAAGTAAAGGGTGGTGAGCAGATTAATAGGTTTAAGGTCAAGTACGGCATTCCCCCGTGCGTAGACATAGAGGATTATGACCCGGTGGTGCACTCTCCTACCCTCGGGGCCGAGGATGCTATGCCATTTTATACCAAGGCCATAATAGAGGGAGGAATTAGGTTTCCTTTACCCCCTTTACTTCTTCAGTTCCTCTCTCACTTCCGCCTCTTCCCCGGGCAGTGTTGCCTTAATGTCTTCAGAATAATTATGGGGGTCTTAGAGCTCAATAGGCATCTCGGGGTAAATATTGGGCTCAACGATCTCCTTTTTTGTTATTCCCTCCTGAGAGTCATGCCTCACCAACACTTCTACCTCAAAGCCAAGGACCCCTCCATGTACCTTGTAACTCATCTTCCCGACTCGGACAAGGGGTACAAGGACGATATTCTTATTTTCAAGGGATCTTGGCAGAGAGGTGTTGGTCCCGAGTATAACGGCTTGTTATGCCCTCTGGAATGGAGAACGACAAGTACGTCGGTTCCTTCGGGTTTATTATTTTGTTCTCCAGACTTCCGATGTTCATGACTACTTTTTTGTTTGTGCAGATATCCCTGCTCGGGAAACAGCTCCTCCCCCTCGGTCGCTGGTGAACTTTGCCGACCTAGTCACGGTTTGGAGATTTACTGGTGACAACGGGTTCGACCGAGCTGCCCACATCCTGCTGAATTACACCCCCGGGTATAAGAAATTTTCACAGCTTCCTCAGCCTTTTGAGCCTTCGCGGTGGTCTGAACTCTTCGATCAGGCGGCGAGGCAGGAGGTCGAGGAAAACTTGGAATAAGACCCTGATCGGGCTTCGGAGGCAGAGGTAGAGGGAGTAGTTGAAGAGCTCGGGGTCAGAGAGGACGTTGTTCCTTCGGACGCCGAGGTGGGGACTTCGGGAGGAGACTTGTGGCCAGACTTCCAAGTCCTACAATCTCTAGACTCCGAGGACGCCCTCGAGGTCGCGATGTCCAGCACGCCTCGTATTGACCTGGGGTTCCTGAGGCAGAGGCAAGCTCTTGCTGCCAGGAGGGGTCGAGGATCGATCGGCGGTGCCCCATCTGCAGGGACCAGTTCCACCCCATCCTCAAGAGTTCTTAGTCGGGGTCAAGTGCGTGACCGGGATCCTCAGGTAGAGGAGGAGAGAAGGGTCAAACATAGGCACGATGGCCTCGGCAGGGGATCCAGGGCATCTTTCGCTCAGCAGCAAAGCGGGAGAGGCCGTGGGTTACCCTCTGCTCCTCCGCAGCAACAGCAACAACAACAGCAACGACAACAGCAACAACAACAACGACAGCAGCAGACTCTCCCTTCCCTTCTCCCGACAGTGGACGCCGCGGAGTGGAACCCCCGAGCCACCGATCACATGAACCGAGTGATCAGGGTCGATGACTCCATTTTGCTGGACCCTCATGTCGCCAATGCAGTGAGTGAGACCCTGCATTTCGAGGCCGACATGGCGGCTCACAGGGGGCGATCAACGAACGTGCTGTTCCGCTCTATCATCCAGAATTCCCTGGTGGTAAGTTCATTTTTGCTTTGGTTTCTTCTCTCTCGCTTTCCATTTTTGTGACACGCCTTTTCCCTCCCTTGCAGGCTACCCAACAGATCTCCATAATAGCTGCGCGGTACCATGGGTCTAGGATGGACCTCCAACGGGACCGGGAGCAGAAGGAAGAAGCGGAGGGGGCCCTCGCCAGAGCTATGAAGGACGTAGCTGCCAGGGATTCTACCCTGGCGGGGCAGGCTGCTCAAATCGAACAACTCCTCAAGGATGCTGAGTCGGCTAAGGTTGGCGCTGAAAAGCTAAGTGCTGCCCTTGCCGATGCTGAGGGGAGGATCACCGAGCAGACGCGGCGGCTTTCTGTCGCGGAGGAGAGGGCGGTTGGCTCAGAGGAAAGCTGTCTGGCTCTCACCCAGGAGCTGGACAGGATCAGAGCCGAGGCACTGAATAGAAAGTCGGAGGAGCAATTCCGGGAAGAGTTCGCCGATGACGTGCTCCCTGCTCTTGAGGAAAACAGCAAGGAGTTCTTCAAGAAAGGGTGGGACGAGGCGCTTCAGTCTGCTGGAATCCCGTCAGACTCCCCGCTCTTCCAGATGCACAAGTACGTGCCCTCGGCAGAGATGGAACGGGCCGAAGCAGAGACTGCTGCCGAGGATGAGATCCCAACGCCGGTGCAAGTCTCGGCGGATTCGTCCGAGGCAGTGATAGTGGACTTGTCCGAAGAGGCCCCGTCGGACCATGCCCCTGATCCTCATGTTGCTCAAGGTCTCTCTGTTGCCGAAGTACCTCTCCTTCTGCCTGCTCCAGAAGCTTCTCAACCTTTTTATGCTGACTCGCCCTCGGCTGATGTTGTGGAGATGCCCGGGGCCAGATGAAAGCCCCTTTTTCTTTTTGATTGTACTCTTTTTTCTTTTGTAGCCTTTGGGGACGCAAAACCCCTCTTCTTGAAATAAATCACGAGTACTTTTTCCTTTTTTGCGTACAGTAGTGCTTTGTTGTTTTTTTTTTTTTTTTGAACTGTCTTCGGGGGCTGGCCCATTCAAGAGGCACGCTCTTGTGTTTGCTTCGGGGACGGGAGTCCTTGAACTCTGTCCCCAGGGTCTTGCCCTTCCAGGAGGCTTGCT